CAACTCAACCCAACTATATTTATGAACTTTACAAGTGTTATGATGTTGTTTGGAAACTCTTAGAATAATATTATAAGATTTAGATAGAATATATTTTCCGAAAAATAGTATAAACAAATACACATTCAACACAAAAATATTTTAATTGCCAAAAACAATTCTTGACTTCATATAATTAAATATCAATTTGTCCATGTAACATTTCCTGGCATGAAGTTTCAAAATAATTCAGATTTTTTTGTTCATTACAACTATGGAGACCAAATATTATATAAGTCATGAGTCAATTATAAATCCATCCAACTCGACTCGCCTACTTTAGTCTTTGTTGACAAATTGTCCCAACCCGACCAACTCGACCGATACTTGATTGGGTTGGTTTAGGTTAGGTTTCAACCTTTATACGGGTTGGGTTGGATTAAATTATGATCAAACCAATCATGTTGGGTTGAGGCAAAAACCGCCCGACCCGACCCAACCCATGCCCACCCTTACCTAATACATAGTGATGTATGTAGACCCATGTCAGTTACTGCTAGATGATGTTTTTCTTGTTTCATCATCTTTACTGATGGATATTTTAGAAATAACCATGTATACTTGATGATGTTCAAGCATGAAGCACTTTAAAAGTTCAAAGAATTCAAACTAGAAGTAAAGAAACAAATAGGTAAGGGTATTCTTGCATTAAAATATTATCAATGTGAAGAATATCATAAAGGTAAAATTTTAGATTATCCAAAGGAGAATGAGATTCTCTAATAGTGAACTATGTTGCATACACCACAACATAATGGTATGTTTGAAAGGATGAATCGCACACTATTAAATATGGTGTGATCAGTGATTGGCCATGCAACCTTCCAAAATCATTTTGGGATCATATACTGATTGTCGTATTCTACAGACTAAATCGGGTTTCATCTAAATTGATCGACAAAACTCCATACAAGGTAATGGAAAGGCATAAAGTCCAACTTTTCTCGTATAAAAGTTTGGGACTGTGATACTTATGTGAAGTGCACTAAATAAGATAAGCTAGAGCCTAAGTCCGATAAATACGTATTTTTGGGATATCTAAAAGAGACATTTGGATATCAATTTTATAATCCCATTG